TGTGGCCGGGGATAGAGGTGGTAACTTGCCAAAACACACAAAGGCAATTGGTGGCTCCACAAAAGCAAACCGAGCCCGAGGCTACGGTCCAAATCCGATGCTCTTGCTGCCTTGTCGTTTGCCTCAGAGCCGGTCCTTTGTCCTTTCCTTTGGGAGAGGGAGGGATCCGAAGTTACTATTGCTGTTGTCATCTTGGATGATCTGTGAGGCAGGAGCAGCACAGTGCTTATCCCTGGAAATCTATTGCCAAAAGAATTTAACAACTGTACAAATCGCTGTCCTTTGATGAGGCATGAAAGAAAAGATCCGTGTATCATAAGCAAGAACGACTCACACTCCCCCTCTCTCTTACTCCCCCGCTGATATATTAAATCTACAAAAATTCAGAGGGCAGCAGTGCAACCATTAATGTTCAAATTGCCAGGCTGGTGTCTAATGTAAATGAAACTACATTGATTTAGTGTTACCCAATGTGCCTCTCCTGCTTGTTCATCTTCTGCAGGCTGATCAAAATCCTTCCTTCCAGGTAGCAGTGGCCTCATGCCCTATATAAGCACAGAAAATAATGTCATCACGAGCCTTAATGATGAAGGTAGTTATAGGACAAAAGCCCCTGGAGCAAGTCAGGTATTGGGTCATTGTTCCTGCTAATGTCATGGTGCCATTTCTCGCTATTTTTAGAATTGTTCCCTTTGTACAGCAAGTTTCTCATGTAGTTGCTTCAGTGTATAGAAGATCTTGTCTTCACTGGACCTAGTAGCAAGGAGCCATCTTCCTCTGACTTCTGGAAAACAGGCAAACCCCTAAAAGCTGAAGAGATTGATAAAAACTTGGTACACAGCTATCGGCAAACCTAAATTTAAATCTTGAAAAAATGAGGATCTCGACTCAGTCTGCTGCTACCCCTTAACGCAGTGACAGACTGAGCACAAAGACCTTGCAGAAAATTTTGCAGGCGTCTAAATTACCCACTCACAGTGTCAGAAGTAACTCGGGGATTCAGTAAATCAGCATGGACTTAGTTCCTAAATTATTTCTATGCTTTTGGAACTCTCAGCACAGATCCAAACTTCTCCACATTTTGAGGGAAGAGATATGGAACAATAGATTAGGAACGTCTAAGCCTTTCATGCTAAAAATGTTCCAAACTATATATCCAAGCCCTTTGGATATCTACTTTGTATATTATGGTTGTCTCAGACACCTTAGTGTGAAGTGATGCTCTTTGGCTTTGGTTGCCCTATAAGCAGAGAAGATGCAAACTGTAAATTCAGAGTTTGCAGTCTAAATGAGCAAGGCAGACAAAGAACAGTTATTACTCCCATGTTATTGGCAGGGAAGTGAGACACGGGAAGATTAAATGACCAGCCCAAGGTCACAAAAGGAGTCTCTAGCAAAGGTAGGCTCTCAGCCGAGATTTCTTAAGTCTTTGCCCAGTACTTTAGCCATCCATTCACTTGCTTTTTAAGTACCCTGTCATTATTTCTGTGAAGAAAATTATGCAACTCCTCCAGCAGCCAGTACTGTGTAATTCAGCCTGTCTGAAAGGGAATATGAAATGGCAGTTTCAAAAAAAATTAACCCTCCTGCCACACAATCTGGCAGCCCTGTCAAAACGTCTCATTTTTTATCTTCTCTTCCTCTGGTGGGTATTTAATTTCCCTCTATATTCTCGGAACACTGGCTGGGGCTTCATCTGCACTACCCTACAAAACCTTCACAGGAGTCTCCAGGGCCTTGTGGAGGACGTATTCTGCAGATGAAGGATGTGATAGTTTTGCGCCCGTCATTTCTGTCCCAGGTGTTCGGATCCACCCTGCGTCACTCGTAGCTGTCACCTGCACAGGAAGGTTTCCTGGCAGCCACGCTGACAAGCAGCAGCAGCTCGAGCTCCGCAGGAGGACACGGGAAGCACCCCTGTGTATGGTCACCCACCGCAGCGATGCATCACTCAGACACGCTTTTAGATGTGGTGGTAGACACTGGCAGATCTTTTATTCCCGATTGCCGTGTCAATGGAAGGAGCAGCTGCACCTCGCCTGCCAATCTGGGTACGGAGAGTCTCCCCCTTTGGGTGACATCTCGATCACCCTGGTGCCCTGGTTTGGGACACCGATTCTTTTGGTGGTGGCCTCAGTAAGAGAGGCCAAAGGATGTAGGAGAACCAATATGACAAAGGCATTTGATCAGGACGAACCAGAGTTCCTCTGGTTTCTGCCCCTCACACGGTCAAAATCTTGCCCCAGACCTTTCAGGCTGATGCAGGAACACCCCGTCTGCAGCACGGCCGCCCCCGTGTTTGGCTGTCCTTGACTTCCCAGACCAAATAATCCATTTATTGGTTTGGGTTGGCAGTGACGGACTGAGGCTCGAGTACGTTTCATATTCATGGGTCCACAGGGAGAGGCTGTTCTGACACTACTCCTTGTGCTCTTTATTCTCTCATTACTAAGCAATTTCTTTATTCACGGAAAAAACATTTTCATCAGCTGCACTTCTACCCTGTGATGTTCCTGACAGCCCGCCCAAAAACTGGGGGCAGGCTCTGATGTAATTTGGGACCTAAAAAGCCTACCTGGTGTTCCGGTGAACTCCATATGCATTCTACAGAGGGGAATTAATAGGAAGCTTTAGTTAATAGATACTTCAGATAAAAGTGCGAGTGCATCTGATCACCATAGCAACATGAAACAGCCAGCAGGGAGAGGAAATGTCACCGTGTCTGTGCCTTGACCTGCAGCATAAACAGCCCAAGTGCTGTGGGTGTCACACAGGGATGTTCACAAGCGGGGACAGAGACACGCACAGGTACGCAGCCCCGCCGCACACAGCCCGCCCGCGCCTTCAGCCCTTCGATATTTGCACACGAGTGTGCTGGTGCGCACAGACACACACGTTAATATTAAAATGGACGACATGTGCCCAACCAAACTCACTGCTGCCAGGTATTCACTTACAGAATTCACAGAATTCACAGAATTGTTAGGATTGGAAGGGACCTCTGGAGATCATCTAGTCCAACCCTCCTGCCAGAGCAGGGTCACCTACAGCAGTGGCACAGGACAGCGTCCAGGCGGGTTTTGAATGTCTCCAGAGTGGGAGACTCCACCACCTCTCTGGGCAGCCTGTGCCACTGCTCCACTACCCTCAAAGTAAAGAAGTTCCTTCTCATGTTAAGATGTTACGAGAACACAATTTTAAGCTTGTGACCATACGTGCGTATTCACGCGTCTGTGTGCAGAGGGGACACGGGAATACTCCCACCTAGCAAATATTCCAGCGCACGCAGCTGCTCCTCCTGTCCCGGCACAGCACAGACAGGCTGGAGACCCTCAACACCACCTTTGCTCCTTTTCTTTTCAAGCGCCAAGCCACTGCGTCCCCGAGCACATCGCACATGTAGCTGACGCGCTCGCGCGCAGCGTCAGACCTGGTGCGGGAATCCTGCCACGGGCGCTTTGGCTCTGGCTCTCAGGAGCGCTGAGCACCTGCTGCTCCCGGTGACTTTAACAGCTGCTGAAGTGAAAATTAGGCCCACGCTGTCTGTTATGCAAAAGCAGTTTCTTAGCAACAAAAATGATATTCTGTGTGAAGGCAACGTGCATTAGCCGGATAATCCTAGGTAATTCCAGACAAGACCTAAATGGGTGGATGGATGGATGGACTGAATAATAATAATGACAGACAGAATAAGAATAATGGAAATAATGAGGCTAATCTTATTCCTCTGGAAAGAAGAAGAAACAGCTATAAATAAAATACAACAGGAGAACCCCTGTGCCAGTTCCCCATATAAAGATTAGAGCCACTTAAATTCAACTTACACCCTAAAAATAGGTTCTGGTAACTAAAGCTTCGCTCATCTAAGCCAGGCTATTTATTGCCTTCAATGTTTTTCCCTCACCCCAGCCAGGTATTATCATTCAGGAACGGAGAGAGCCGTACATCTTGTCCAAGGGCAGCGACCAACGGGAACAAATCTGCGTTTGAGGCTTTGCTACCTCCGCACTGCCATGTCCTGGGCAGAAAACGCTGTGCTTTAAAACGCTCTACCAAACCCAAACCATTTGCTACAATTAAGAACACGTCAGACTCTCGCTAGCACGCTCTGCAGCTACTGCATTTTGTAGTTCAATCGCTTCAGGGAATTTAACAGAAATTAAACCTCCCGTGAGATTTACACACGCTGTAAAGTTACAGAAGAACGTTTCCAGCCCAGGCCGCACCCGCTCCGCACAGAAAGGGGGACCCCGGGCCTCCCTCCCTCCCCCCGGGGCGTTCAGGCCACACCGACCGGGGTCTCTTTCCCGCCCCCGGGCTCCACCTCACACC